TGGAAGATGAGCCTGGAGCATTTTGTAGTGCCAGAAAGTACAGAAATAACAAAAGAATGGTTGCACAACTGTGTGAATATACTTAGTATCACTGAGCAGTACACCTAGAAATGGTTAAGATAGTAGGCTTTATGTTTTATGTATTTTACCACATACAAAAAAGATGGGAGCCTGCCAAAAGGACACACAGAAGCTAAACTGAGAGTGGTCTCAATGGGGCAAAGCTGGAACAATTTGAACAACAAAATATATCATTTTGAATTCCTATCAGTATTGAATAATGTAGTATTGGATTATAACCGAAGTACAAAATAAGTATACATGAGTCCATACTAATATAAATATAATGATTAAATAAATAGGAGAGAAGAGACAAAATTTCTTATGGAAGAATTCCAAATTATATCCTTGGATACTCTCCTCCAGGAGATGGAGCTTGAGGGTGAGCTAGACTTAGTGACTTGCTCCCAGGGGAAGGGGAAAAATAGTAATTTTACTATTAAGACAGACAGTACCTTGGGGCGCCTGGGTGGCTCAGTTGGTTAAGCGACTGCTTTCGGCTCAGGTCATGATCCTGGAGTCCCCGGATCGAGTCCCGCATCGGGCTCCCTGCTCGGCGGGGAGTCTGCTTCTCCCTCTGACCCTCCCCACTCTCAAGTGCTCTCTCTCATTCTCTCTCTCTCAAATAAATAAATAAAATCTTTAAAAAAAAAAAGACAGTACCTTAACAAAGTGTTCAAGGTTAACATCACCAGTAATGAGTCATGTTACTGGCATGCACTCCTGATACAATGTAATGAAAAGAGCACTTCACCTCTATGGTCTTCCTCCCCAAACCTATAAGCCCAGTTTAATCATGAGAAAAACGTGAGACACACCCAAATGCAGGTATATTCTACAAAATACCTGACCAAGTGCTCTTTGAAACTGTCAAGGTCCTGAAAATCAGGAAAGTCTGAGACACTGCACAAACCAAAGAAGACTAAGGAGATTAAGGAGATAGGACAATTTACTGCGATATAGGATCCTGAATTGCATCCTGGAACAGAAAAAATACTAGTAGAAAAACCTGAGAGGTTTAAATAAAGTTTAGAGTTTAGTTAATGCTAAGGTTCAAATGTTGGTCTCTTGGTCTTGACAAATGTACCATGGTTATATGAGATGCTAACAGTAGGAGAAACTGGGTAGAGGCATATGGGAACTCTCTGCACTATCTGCAACTTTTCTGTAAATCTAAAATTATTCCCCAAACTCCAAAACAAAGTTTTGTTTAAAAATAAATTAGAAGTTTGGCAATAAAGGTGATGGGAATGTCAAAGAAACACGGGTACATCAGTATAAATTGGGCCTTGGGGCTGTGATTGATTGCTGGAAGGATCCCTCTCAGCTCTAGAGATTCTCGTTGGTTATGTGCCCACAAAACAGCATGCATTGAGCATTATTCTAGTGTGGTAGTTCTCAGATTTTGTGTGTTCCAGAATCCTGGAAACTAATAAAGACTACTGGGACCCAGGTTCATTGAAATAAACTAGCACTGGGCTACTGTATCTTCACAGAGTTCCCTGATTCTGATACACATCCAAGCCTAATAAAGACTACTGGGACCCAGGTTCATTGAAATAAACTAGCACTGGGCTACTGTATCTTCACAGAGTTCCCTGATTCTGATACACATCCAAGCCTGAGAACCACTGCTCTAGCACTTTTCTACTAACAGGACCATTCATTCATTCAATAACTATTTATTGAGCAACTATTCTATGCCAGCTCATTCTTAGTATTAAGTATACAGTGGTAGACACACAGGCAAAGCCTCATGGAGTTTACATTCTAATGCACGGATAAACCTACACTGAGTCTCTTGTATTTCCCAGTTCCAAGTCCCCAAAGAGAAAATCTGATTGACCTAGCTAATCATTACCATCTGTTGTTTGTTTTTTTGTGGGGAGGGGCTACAGAGCTTTTCTTAACAGGCTACTTTATAGGTTATTAGTTAGTGTAGGTGCTGGTTTCCAGTAAGTTGGGGGTTCCCCTCTACTCCAGTCAGCTATGACTGGGGTTCCATGGCCCGAAACATGACCCCTCCTGAGGTTTGCTCCTTCAGCAAAACTAACTAGGTCAGGAAGGGGCCATGGGTTAGGGAGGCCCTGGTGTCTGACTATGAAGCGTGGTTGTTATCCAAATGCAGCAGGAGCCACACTTTCCCAGGGTAGTCTGGAGGCAAAAGTATTAGGCTGCACTAGTCAATATGATACAGAGATCCTTCCATCACGAACTGTTTCTTTATGGGCTTTCACTTTTCTGCTGCTTGTGATGTTTCAAAATACCAACTTGCCTGCCGCAGATTCCTTCTTCAGTTGAGACTGTCTTGGACAATAATCTCCCATGTATTCCCCTCCATCATGTTATATTTATTTATATTAGCTTTGGCCACATACTTAGGATTTTATTCGTCGCCTTCTGAGCATATTCCCTAACTACAAGAGGGAAAGAACTGGCACCAGGAAAATTGGAGCAATGGTTAGCACGTATTTTTGGTCCCAAATTAGGTGAGCCTTGCACCTCACCCACTACCAATTGCCACTAAAAAATAACACAGATTTTGGGGCATCTGGGTGGCTCAATCGGTTAAGCGTCTGCCTTCGGCTCAGGTCATGATCCCAGGGTCTTGGGATCAAGCCCTGCATTGGGCTCCCTGCTCAGCAGGGAGTCTGCTTCTTCCTCTCCCTCTGCCTGCATCTCTCTCTGTCAAATAAATAAATAGAATCTTTTTAAAAAAAAGTAACACAGATTTTGATGAGGCACAAATAGGAGCAGCAGGGGTAACTTATTAACTGATCCTGAAAAAGAAAAGGCTTTGAGGCTATTTCACACATTGAGTTCAAATTAACAAACTTTACTACCATGTTCCCAAGACTCAGCCAGGAACTGGGGATCTGAAAATGAAAAAACCTGACTGTCACCCTGAATGAATGGACCATAAATAGTGGAAGACAAGCCTATGACAAAGATGATGTTTCCAGAAATGAAGGAACTAACTATTCTAGGAACTAAGAGTGAGGAGAGGCATTCCTCTGAATTTAGGGATCTATAAGTAAAATTTGAGATGGACCTAACAGGATAGTTAGAATTTTTCTACGTATAAAGGTAAGAAGGAGCACTCCAGATGTATGAATCAGCATGAATAAGGTAAAGAAGGGAAGAAAATAAATGGCCTGTATGGGGAATAGCAGATAGTCACTCATACGACTGAAATAAAATAGAGCTCTAAGGAAGGGCCAGAGTTGCTGATGGACTACCAAAGGTCCACATCCTGGGTTCTGCAAACCATGGCTAGTGCCAAACGTCTGGGAAACAAAAATCTGACAATTTCAACAAAAATTGAACATAGCAACAGCTTATGACACCACCATGAAGATTATAATTGTCAAGCAGAACAAGAACATCATCAAATCTAGTTCTTATATGTATTCCTTTACATTAAATTCATTAATGACTTAGCTGCCAGGCACCCTGCTAAGTATTAGGAACATAGAGCTGACTCCACTGCAGTCCCTGCCCTTGAGGAACCTAATAACTGCAGATTTCATTTGTGTATTCATGTGTTGATTAGGCCTCCTAAAAACATGGTATTGGTTTATTGACAGCAAAGAAAGATAAATGACTTTTTATTTTAAAATTTTAAATACTTTTATTGTTACAGAAGCAGTCCATAAGCATTAGAAAATATAGAACCAGCAAAAACAAAAAGTAAAATATTTCTGGCACACCCAGAAATCATCACTGTAACACTTGGTTCATATCCTCTCACGTCTTCTTATATATACATATGTATTTTGCTCACAAAAATGTTTTCATATTGTTCACAGACATACTGTGTCTTGTAACCTGCTTTTTCAGTCAATAATTTCCACTTTTCCATGTCAGTAAATGCTTCGAATACTCAGTACATATTCAAATTTTCCCGTTTCAGCCAAAAATGTCCTTTACAGCTAATTTCTCCAAATCAGCCTACCACTCAAGACCTTACATCGCATCTCCTGATTACATCCTTCCTGTCTCTTTTAATCCAGTATAGTCCCTTTCTTATACTTCTGATTTGATGAAAAGACCTGGCCAGCTGTTCTGAAGGACAGTCCACCTCTTTTATTTGCCTGGTTATTTCCTTGTGATGTCATTTTACTGACATTTCCCTCTATCCTCTGTATACAACTGGAAGATCTAACTATAGTAGAAGCAAGTTAAACATTTTGGGCTAGAATACTTCACGAGTGGTAATATGTACTTTACGTTCCTTCACATCAGAATATACATTGTCCGAAAACCTGGTTGACCCACCATTAGTGATGATCAAATTGACCCCTGGACAATGGCCATAATTGAGGATTTTAGAGGGAAAGGGCAAAAGGAGAAATGGAATAGGAAAAGTGTGAATACAACTTGGCTACCTAAAGGAAGTAGGAAACCCAGCAGCAGGAGGTAGGACACTGAGGACATCCAACTGTGCTTCCCACTCTGACATCGCTCCGATTGTGACCAATCCTCTGATCTTGTTCTCATAATTAGGAAGGCAAAAACAGAAACAAAACGTTTTCCTTTATAAAACTGAGATGAGCTGAGCGGATGCGGGATTCAGCCCACAGAGAGGCACCATCAACCTCTTTACAATCTGGGACAAGACCTATGAACGTGGAGAAAGAGAGCGTTTGTACCCACCCTGGTCTTTTCAGTAGCAGCCCTTTCCCTGCCTCTGGCCACCAGGGGGAGCTACGACAAAGCAATGGTTCCTTCGGGCGAGTGGGAACGCGTCTGGATAAAGTTTGTCCAACTCAAGGATCCGTAGCAAGATGCCGAGACTGGAGGAACTGTATTTCTGCAGTCTCGCGAGCACCAGTAAGCCCCTCCCCGCCCGCGCGTGTTCAGGCCCCTTCCAGTGATTTGCGGCAGGTGGCGCTGTCTGCGGCGCCACAGCGGCCGTGGGTGCCGCGGCGACGCTCTCCCGGCGGGCAGTGCGGCCCGGCTCTCCGGCGGCAGCGAGTGCCACGTCCCAAGTGCTACGCGGAGGAGCGGAGCGCGCGGGGGGCGGGGAGCAGCGCGGTTCCACACTAATCGCCCGCCGCCATGGGGTCCTCGCAGAGCGTCGAGATCCCTGGCGGGGGCACGGAAGGCTACCACGTCCTTCGGGTAAGGGCTCCGACGACGGCTCGGGAAAGGCAGGCTGGAGGCGGGGTCCGGCCGCGGGAGGCAGAGGCCCCGACGGGCCCCTTCCCGGGACAGCCAGGCCCGACCCCGAAGAAGAGCGGCGACCGCGGGCGCTGCCTTAACCGAGGCCGGTTCAGGAGGCCGCTCGCATCCCGCCTCCCCAGAGCGCTCCGGACGCGGGGTCCGCTGCACTGGGAGGACGGGGTGGAGCCTGGGCGGTAGCCGGCCACTTGATCGGGAGGCGGCCCAGCCGGGGGGTGGAGGGCGGAGGGACAGTCTTTTTCTCGTTACGGCCTTCTCTGTCCCTTCTCTCTTAATTCTTAGCTTACAAAGTTAGGAAAGGTTTGGGGGCAAAGTCTTCAGAAGAGGTGATGGTGAAGGTAGCATTTGAGTTTTCTGAGAAAATGAAGCCTGGAGCTCGCAAGCTAGACGCGGGGGATGCGACGGCAAGTGTTAATTCACCTCGGCGCTTTCTGGATGTCCGGAAAAGCCAGTTAGGCAAACAGAAAATGAAATGGCCCAGAAGTAGGTTTCACGGACTTAAATTTACTTGATTTTGTAGGAGTTTTTCCTTTCCCGGGTCGCTCCCGACCTTTCCAACCCTCTTTTTCCACATTTCCTGGTGGGGGGGATCTTCCGTTCTGTTCTAAGGGTGTGGTGGAGATTGAGGTTTAAGGTAAAAGGTAATGGAGAGGAACTTCTAAAAAAAAAAAAAAAAATCTAGGTAAACAAAGGAAAGCAGCCTTAGTCACCAGGATGGAGACGCATAGTATCTCAAAAAACATTAGGTAAGCCCTTGCTTATGAGCAACCTAAGTTGTTGCAAAGCATGTGGGTTTTATAGAACTGGAAGTCTTTAAAAGTAGCATTGACGGTTATGTGCTATGACACCTGCGTGAGTGGTTAACATGATGGATTGTCAAAAAAGTGGCCCCAATCTGTAGCACCATTTCAGGACGTAAGAGTGTCACTAAATGTTAGCTGCTCACAGGCAAGAACATTTTCACTGAAAGTGAGAAACCGTACTTTCTGGTGCTTACAGTCATTTTCTGCCTTAGATCCCATGTTTTGGGGGAGACAACATTCTTTTTTTTTTTTTTTTTTAAGATTTTATTTATTTGACAGAGAGAGACACAGCGAGAGAGGGAACACAAGCAGGGGGAGTGGGAGAGGGAGAGCAGGCCTCCCACCAAGCAGGGAGCCCGATGCCGGCCTGATCCCAGGATCCTGGGATCATGACCTGAGCCGAAGGCACACGCTTAACGACGGAGCCACCCAGGTGCCCCTTGAGACAACATTCTTAAAGTGAATTACCCAGATATGGGTGTGATAGCACTGTGATTGATGACCTTTCTGATCTTTAGGATTATCATGTCTTGTTGCCTCTCCACTCTACTAAACTCTTGAAGCCTCACTATTGGTGGGAAAGGATGATTTTCCTAGAAAATCAGCAAAGCATATTTCCTTCAGCTAAGCCAACCCCAAGAGCCACACCGATGGGAGAAATTGAAGGAGAAATGTCAGATCCAAATGTAAAGTGAAAGTTTAGTGGCAGTACTTTTCTATTATCTGGTTTGATTTTGAGTATTCTACCCTGGGGTGTGATATCTGGTATTACCAGCTGATTCTCAACAGTGGCTGATTGTGGCCATGAATCTTTGGGGATTCATGATATTTTAATGATACATGCACTCAGTAAAACAGCATACTTGAGTTTTTAAAAGTCTGTTAGAAAGATGTACACATCGAAAGGATTGCAATTGAATGGCTTCTATTAATGTCTATGTTCCATGCAAAATAAGTTGAAGTATGTTTTCTTTACATAGGTGCATCTTAGTAAATCAGCTCTCCTATATATTCAGTAGTGCAGATGTGTTATTAATCTATAAATCTGATTTTCAGAAGCACTAGGGACAACCTTCGTTTCCAGTCTGCATCTGGAGCATAAATGTTGCAAAAGATGAAATCTTACTCAGGTTTTATTAGAGGGCGCTTTAAAATAGTAATGACCATCTGACTTAGGAGAATTTTTTAAATGTTTTAGAGTTCCTAACCCACACTGTCCTTGGTTTCCAGCTATCTTTGTTTTTAGAGGGGAAAGTACTATGTTAAATCTGAACATAATAGAAAAATCTTCCTTTCATTTATTATGGCCTAAATATACAGTGATGTATTTCACCGCTGGATTACTGAGCTTGTAAACTAGAATAAATATTGTAAGATAACCTTGGAAGAAAATCACTCATGTTAACACATTCTAGAATGATTTCATTAGAAGTTTGTTTTCTTTAATAATCGATTCCCTGGTAATAAAAACTTGTTAGTAATAGTAATAAAAACTTGTTAGTAATAAAAACTTGTTTGGGTTTTGAAATAATAATTATAGTGACATCCATGTCCACTGCTGTTTTATTATTATTTCCAAGTCCTTACAATTCACATAGATTGAAATTTACATTTTTTTCTATTTTCCATATCCATTGGTAGATTCTGCTTTTACAGTTTTTTAGGGGACAGCCTTGAAATAGTTTCAGATTCTCTGCTGTGAGCGGTGTACTTTCCTTTTTATGTATTATGCATTTATATATTGATGAACATTTTCAGGTTGTGATCATACTGTATATCCAATTCCCCATTCCTACCCTAGAAGTAACTACTGTAGTTTAAGTATCTTTTCAGAAATGTTTTATGCCTGTAAAAGAATTCTGCCCCCCTTCACTCTTTCTGTTTCCTTTTGTAACTGTTGGAATCATAAGATACATACTGTTACTCCCCTCGGGTCTTCTTATTTGATAATCATCTTGGCAGTCTTTCCATAGCAGCACATAGAGATCTGCCTCTTGGTTTCACTTAGCTCCGCAGTAGTTTGTTGTACCACAGTTTAAACAGCACCTCCTGGTGATGGACATTTAATTTTTCTAGTCTTTGCGGTCACCAGTACATGTTCACCTTAAATCCTACCTTTGTTTTCACTTAAAATGTACATTTTCCCAAATCATTGAATCTTAATGTTTATTTATACAAACGTTGATCTTCATTTTAGTAGATTATTACATTGTTTTCTGATAGCACGTGTTCATTACAGATCTTTTAGATAAGTTAAAAAAGATAAGTTAACAAAGTTATCTAACCTTTTAGATAAGTTAACAAAGAATCTAAATTATAATTCTATCATCTAAAAGTAAATACTTCTGAAGTATTTTCCTGTGCTTAACCGTGCCGCTTAGCCATCTTTCACAAATATTTTGAATGATAGGACATATTCGAGTACAGTGTGGTCTGAAATTATCGTAAGATGTTGGTTACTACCTAAATATCCAATAGCTGAGGAACTGGTAAATAAATCAGGCCCTAACTGCAGATTGAAATGCCGTACGTTCATGAAAATGGTATTTCACAGCACTCTGTGGCTGTAGGTCTGCCTCTCTGTGTGGGTGCATGTACAGTCGAGTGCCAGGAACATAAAGTGGAAAGGTAATAAGCCAGGATATTAAAAAGGATTATTGGTGAATGGTGACATTTTTATATTCCTTCTAAACTTCAGTATATTTTCTAAAATTTCCACAGTGGTCATGAAATATTTGTATATTCACAAAATAATTAAAAGATGTTTATAAAAGGTGGACTCTTACTGGAAATTTTTAAATTTGTTCAGAAGCCTTCTTTTATTTGTTTTAATTTATTTGTTTATTTGAGAGAGAAAGAGCATGAGCAGGGGGATCGGCAGAGGGAGAGGGAAAAGCGGACTCCCCACTGAGCAGGGAACCCGATGCGGGGCTCCGTCCCAGGACACTGAGATCATGACCTGAGCCAAAGGCATACGCTTAACCATCTGAACCACCCAGGTGCCCCCAGAAGCCTTCTTTTAAAAATAGCATTATAGTTCACATTCCCTTATGCAATAAGTCCAATTCCATGTTCATCATGAGTACCACTTTTATTCCCACTCTCCAATCTTAACATCAGGCAGGAAAAATGTTAGCCAGAGCTTCTTAGTTTTGTTAGAAGTTACTAAAGTTGAAGTATGTTGAATACAGAATTCTTGCCTAGATTCTCTTTTAATGACCGTAAACCATATAAGGCCGTTTTCAAAATTACATTTTTGGAGTTGCCTCATTGATGCCCATTATAAGATTTGTTTCGAAATTTGAATATTCAGATTAATTGCATTCTACACTTAATATTCTTTGAGATGTGGGTTATCTGAGGACATTCTGGAACCAATGTTCACACCACTTTGGGGACATGGAAAATGTCATGTTCACTATTCCTTGTCATTTCCTTCAAGAGAGATTCTGAGATGATGGATGTTTTGAAGGAAAGGCCATTGAGATGAAGTATGTCTCCAGTATAATAGGCCTTTATCTCCAGAGCTGTTTGCTATAGACTGGGCAGCATTAAATACTCTTCTTAGAGGAGAAAGTGACAGTAGAATTATTTCCGTAGAAAATGGAGGGTGCCTTGGGTAGCTCAGTCGGTTGGGCATTTGCCTTGGGCTCAGATCATGATTCCAGCGTCCTGGGGTGACTCCCATGTTGGGCTCCCTGCTCAGCAGGGATTCTGCTTCCCTCTCTCTCTGTGCCCCTCCCCGATTCATGCTCTCACTCTCAAATCTTAAAAAAAAAAAAAAAGAAAATGAAATATCTAGACATAGCTACTATTACATGGATCTGTCCTTTTTTTAATGGTATCTCACTAATCTACATGAAATCCTGCAGGATTTCAACTTGGTACTTATTTTGAGAAAGGGAATTCCTAACATTTGATAGTCATAATTTTATCCACTAACACAGTGTTTCTTGAACTTTTTAAATTCAGGCCCCATTTGAAAAACAAAAACCTCACTACTACCGTCTTCTCTCCTCACTCACTCTGAAAACAGTGGATATAAAAGGAAAACTTGGGTTATTTGGTGTTTTTCAAATATAAAGTTGTAGTCGAAAAGCTTTATAAACACCCACCTAAAGATTATGATCTCCCAAA